TTCAGGACGGATGGATATACATATACCAGATCATTACACACATGGATGGTATTTTGTACTAGGAGGGGTATGGACTTTAAGTCTTAGGACCATGGTTAGGGTGCGTATATCGCCTAGGATGGATAGCTGGACAGAGGTATTGTTCTCTGGTAGGTCTAGATACACATGACCACAGTATGTGCGATTTGCATGATATCTCTATTCAGGCTGAGACAAACCTTTTTGGACTAGTCAGCGTCCTATAGTGTGTACTATATACATATATGGACTACTCTAGATATTGTTGAGTCTTCCTAGGATGTATCTACGTATCGGATTACTATTTGGATTGTAGTAGATCAGGACTTGCATGTGGGCCTAACCCACTTCTTTATTTTTCAGGTGCTCGTCAGTTCTAGGGTTAGAGTTTGGACGTGCAGAGCAGATACAACTATTCATTCCTCCGATTATGTAGGAATCTTCTCTATGTTAGCTTTGGATTTTTTTTTTTTTTTTTTTAATTATTTCAGTATCTTTTGGAGAATTTTAATAAGGGGTCCAATGGATGGATTCCCGAGTTGTAAACTTATGGAGTTTTGGATTATCAGGTTTTAAGTATTTAATTATAAAGGATTTTATTTCTAGATTCTTTCAGCTTATTATTTTTATTTCTTATTTTATCTTGTATTCTGTGTTCGGTTACATATTAATTGTTTGATATCCCTCGGGTTTGGGCCTGCGCCTGATCAACCCGTGTCTCGGATCCGAGGGATTTCTTAATTAGTATCCACCTTTATGGTCTCTGGAGTTTTCTCTGGGAATTTTAAAGTGCCTTCGTCATAGCTTTCTACAATACACCTTGTAGAACAGTACAATTATTTGTAGTATGGTTCCAAGAGTTATGATACTTACAATACTCTTTTCCCTTCAAGTCACTTGCCGATGGAATCCTATGCCCTTTAGGCAAAGATATCATTTTATTAGCCATCAAGTGATCAAAAATTTGATTTGTTTTCGATAAGTCGAACGAAAAACTTTTCCCGGTATTGGCAGGACCTTTCCTTGCTACCGATGTTGACGTTGATGAATTGCCCCTCGTGGTCAGTTTAGGTTTAACCAACGCCTCACAAACATATGGCTTTTTGATATTAACCTCTGCAACGTCAACTTCTAATTCATCTCCAACTTCTGCCGAGAATACCTCATAATTAGGGTCCTTGTACCAAGTACCCTTAGAAGAATTCTTCCTCTCTTTCTCTTCTTTTAATATTTCCTCATACTGAGAAGCCCTGTCTGCCAAATCAAAGAGATCTTGAAACTCAACCCCATTAAACCTCTTGCAATGTTCAATGTCTAAACCATTTAATGCCAACTTGATGTTTTCTGGTTCTAGCAAACTTACTCGGCATTTGAGTTTAACCTTTCTAAACCTGGTAACAAAAGTCTTAACCGATTCACTCGGCAATTGAGATAATCGAGATATGTCTGCCAGTGTAGCTTCTGTCTCTGTTTGGTAGAATTGGGTATGAAATGCTTCCTCCATCTCATCCCAAGTCTGAATAGAATTAGCCGGTAAGTTGTTGTACCATTCAAAAGCTGCCCCGGCAAAACAGCTAGAGAATAACCTCATCCTTAACTAAGGGCTAGGACCAGCTTCTCCACATTGTGCAGTGAACCTTGCAATATGCTGTACTATAGAGAAATTTTCTTCGCCATTGTACATAGAAAAATCGGGATATCGATAATTTTTAGGCAACTCATGGGCATCAATGTGATCAGGATAGGGCTTTCTGTATACCGGCCGAGCACATCTGCGACCTTGTGCTACTTCGGCCTGTATTAAAGCCAAGATCTGAGCCCTATCAATCCCTGCATTTCTTCTTGGAGGATCATTTGGGTGCCGCGGAATGAATGGATTAACCCACTTCCTTTGTGGATCGGCATTCACTTGCCCCCCAGCAGCCGCTGGAGGTATCAATGGATTGACCCTACCTTGGTTTAAATGGCCAACACCTTCTTGCTGATTTCTCACTGGTGGAATCGACTGCTCATTGGAACGCTGCACAGGTTGATCATTTATTAATGGATGGAACACCAGCACAGGATTCACCACCAACGAATTTGATAAGATTGGCGGATTTCCCATTGGCATGCCAAGTGTATGATTCGGCACGTTGCTGATCGTAACACCAAGTCCTACATTTGGCAATATGGTGCTTGTTCGAGGTCCTTGGGATATATGAACCAATGGTGCCGTTAGACGCTGAAAAATGGACTCATTGACGTGAGACGCTTCAGCCTGATCTTGTTAGCTTTGATTTGCCGGTACATTAGTTTCAAGTTTCTAACTCATCTTCTCCAACTGAGTGTACACCATTTGGTTTAACTTTCCTATCATCGACCTCATTTGAGCAACCAAAAGCTGATTTGATTCTCCCATTTGGGACTTTACCTCGCCGATCTGGGCTTGCTAGGCATCGATTTTCTGCATAATTGATTCCAATACTTGACTCAAAGGGACGTCGGATGGAATAGATGAGTTAGCATCATCGCCTACGCCGATCTGTGGATTCTCTTCGTCAGTATTATCTCCTGTATTCACGCCTTTCGAACCTCTTAGCTTTGGAGGCATCTTTACTATAACTTGCTCACCTGATGGGGTCCCACCGGATGTGCCAAAAACGTTGACCCTAAAATCGGCTAACTAGAGCCGATCTTAAATTGATGGAAAACGAGCGTGCCAGAACCAAATATATGGTTCGATTGTATTTTGTCAACTTATAGTCTCTTAGGGAAGGTTGACTTCAGGCGATTATAGGAGATAAAGAACAAATAAACTCCTAAATGAGTTCAATATTGCCTTAATTAAAAGAACTTTCTGTAAACAAATTATAGTAACGTAACAAGAGAATAGAAAGGGGGAGATAATGGATATAACAAGAAAAGAAAAGGAAAGAATAAGGAGAGAGGAAGAGAGAGAGAGAGAGAGAGAAAGATACTGAGAGATTGAGATAGAGAGATAGAGATGAAGAAGAAATAGCAAGGATGCTATTCTTAGAAAGGCTTGAAGAAATAAACAAATAACAATAATGATTCTGAGGGTGCTGGACCCCTAAAACAGCATGCCTCTTTGTTTATTTATAGAAAATACTGTAAACAAATTCCTACCAATTAGCATTCTAATAACAATAAAACTCTCGCTAACTACTAAATTCAAACTTAAATTGATATTCCTAGATAAAGATTAATTCCTAACTAAAATCTGGTAATCATATAAATCCTACCTAACATAAAGTGTTTCAAAAGATTTCAAAAATATTCCTATCTGATCAATAAGCCCTTACGTGTAGCCTTGCCCTATGTAAAACCTGCCACATCACTGTTCCTTTATTTGTAATCCTTTCATGCATAACACTGATAAGCCTTGTTTCAACTGATTTGTTGATCCGAATCCCTTCAACCCAATCATGACCCAAATCCAACATTTTAAAGCCATACTTCCAAGCCCAAACTAACCACTGTATCCTCAGCCCAATTTTTGTGCAACCCAAGTTCTTGAACATCATCATTTATCAGGCCCATATATTCTTGGCCCATAATACCATGTTAATGTTTATCAAGCCCAATTAGAGCCCAAATCCAAATTACCAAAATGGGTGTCAACAGCACTCAAGGGAATTAATTCTTAACACTCGGTCATGTGAGTTGCATATCTTGACCGTAGAGATTAATAATAAATTGTAATAGTAAAGTCCAAAATACCTCTAAAATATAATTTTTAAAATTTGGTAACTAATCCTATCTCTCCATTACTAAATTATTATTATTTTTTTTAAAGTGTAAGCTATTTCTTAACAATTTTTTTTTTTTCATTTGATATATATACTTTAATTTTTATTTATTTATAGTAATTAGTTGATGGTTCATATTCACAGCTCCTATTTCTCCATTACTAAAATTTTATTATTAATAAAGCTGTAAACATTTGGTAACTAATCCTACATTTTTAGTTGATGGTTTGTATTCATAACTCCCATCTCTCCATTACTAAATTTTCATTATTTTTTTGAAAGTATAAAAAATTTAAAAAATAAAAAATAATTAAAAATAATAATTAATGGGTCAACGGGTCATAACGGGTTGACCCTGCTCATTTTTAACCCAAACCAAACCCAACTCAACCCAACCCAACCCGCCCATTTACCAACCCCAACTTTAACTATGAGAAGATGTTAAATGGCAAAGCCCGTATTCTAACATTATAATGTACATAGTTACACTGGCGCAATTTATATTCTATTTGATAAAATTATAAAATATGTACCGAAAATATGTACTGAAAATTTTAAGGGTTAAATTTTAATTACATGCTAAAAATCAAGTGATAGTTGTAAATGAAATTGTTTTGATACATTTTTTGAATTTTAAGTATTCAGAATTCGGTGATAAGGGAAGAATGTCACTTATAATTTTATCCTAATTTAATTGGTACTTTTTTTTTTTTTTTCTTTGGGAATATTTAAATTGTATTATCAAATATATTTAATTAGATAAACACTTCCATTTGAAATTATGCATTTAATTGAATTATCAAACAGTACTTAGGTCTTAGGTTAAATTATTTTGACAATTTGATGAAAATTAAGCCTGTGGAGCATGCATACCAACATAGTGGGGTATATCATTGATGCCTCAGTTGCAGTAGGTGGAAGGTTCATCCTCCTTAACCAGCAACGGTACAATGAATGTAGTAATACAACTTTTCATTGTCAAGAGAAAACCAAAAAAAAAAAAATATTTACCGGGAAAAAAAATTATTTACCTAAAAAAATGATAAAGGAAAAAAAAAGTTTTTTTTTTTTGGTTCCCCATTTAAACTCTTAACAATGGAATCAGGAAAACAAAGAACATCAAAACAACAGAAGCAAACTTCTACATTCGTTGTTGTCAGATTGAACCAGTCATTTGAATATGAGAAGATGCATGTTGTATCATATGCCCCAACCTGTGCATTGGGATCACTCATCCCACACTATACTTGACCAATTTCATATTCGCCATCCATTGCAAAATAACAAATGATTAGTTTAAAATAACTAATTTATATCAAGTCTTACATGAATCAGCACAAGGGTTTTTAAAACATTCTCAATTACAATAACAGGTAAAACACAAGTTCATAATTACATTATTGTGAAAACACAGGTCCGTAATCATATTATTCCTCACTTCAAAACATCCTCAATAACAATAACAGGAAAAACACAAGTTCATAATTACATTACTGTGAAAACACAGGTCCATAATTATATTATTCCTCACAAATCGACTTTCTCATACCAGAATAAAAGAAACAAGACCAAAGCAAATATGACAAGCATCCCCTGAAGGCTGAAATCTCAATCCAACTCCAATGGTGCCTTACCTGGAACAGTTTAAAAAAAAAGAAAGTGTGTCACAGCTAAGCAAGATCATAGCTCTCAACAAATAAACTCGAACCATACCTCAATAACAATTGCATGATAAACATATATCGTGTGATCTAATGTGCATGTATTACTAGTATAAATTACATCTCAGTTCAACATATTATGAAATAAGTCTATTGATTAACTGTTAAAGTTAAATCTTAACATTTGTTAAACTTTTATTCTCTTTAGTTCCTTGTACACGGTGAAAATTTCAATCTCTGGGCCTGGAGAATATTCAATCATACATGTGATACTCTACAATAGGTAGAGAATATATTCAACATCCATTATGCTCTGAAGAATTATTAAAACTTCAATTATCAGTATATGTATATATATACATACTTTCAAATTTACGAATTTGTGTAAGATTACTCTAATCTCACTTCATTTATTAAAATTTTATCCACAAATAGTTTTATCCAAATAAGAAATCATTAATTAATTTTATTTTACTGTTCCATACTTATAAGTATGGAAAGGACCACTTTTTAGAGAAATTAATTTACAAATGGATCTAGAGTCCCTCTAAGTCATTTATTCCATATATTATGATTTTTTTTTTTTTCCTAGTTGGTACTTACACATACTTGTTTCTTTTGACACTTAAACCCCTGACTTCTTTTTGGAAAGTAAGAAACTAATATTGTTAAGCCATTGACCTGCTGGTCATATATTATGATTATTTACTTCACATACTAATTTTGATACTTTCTGTAACTTTTTTATATTTTTCTCTAATTTTTCGTACTTAAATCAATTAAAATACTTTTTAATATCCAAAGGGCGTGGTATACGTCTCAGAAGGCCAAAACACATTCTACTATAATTCAAGCACCTTGCAAAACACGTACCCTTAAACATAAGATGCAACTTAGTTTGTTAAGTAATGTCTTAAGGCTAATCATTGAGATACATGTAAATACAGTATTACTCAAGATATTTCTTACATTTATCAATACATGTATAAATATTACAACATATTCAGATGAGAATGTAAGTAAACATATATAAATATATCTACTCTACTGCTCTAATACATGTTGTTGTAATGTGATGTTATAACTGCATTTGAATGTCTTATCAGTGGCAGTAGAATGGGTTGCATCTAAATATATAGTTTTTTCATCTGTGTATTTCGTGCTTCAGAAGAAGAAAATGAATACAAATAAACATACCTGAAGTTCTACACCATTATCTCACAATGAGATTTGTCAGTTTAAATTTTATTTTCTTCTTTAAGCACAGTTGTCTTCAGGTTGTTGAGATGAATCTTAAAGGGTTTCCAAAGATCGATATTGACTTCATCGCATATCACATCCTTTAATTGCCAAAGATTGCTAACTGAATCTGGCAACTGATGCAGTCGTCCACAACCTCTCATGACGAGCTTTTTCAGAGCACACAGCTCACCTATCTCTGTAGGCAATTCCGTTATCTTTGAGCAGTCAGATATGTCAAGGAACCCTAATTTATGGAGGCTTCCAATTGAGTCTGGCAACCCTAACAGTCCTTTACAACAATGAAGCCTCACCACTTCTAAATTTTTTAGCCTTTCAAGTCTTTTGGGAAGTGCATCCAGGATTCCAGGCCATGACATTTAGAGATGCTGAGCTTCTTGAGGCAGATAATATCACAGAGCCCCTCAGGCAGTTCCGCTAGATCACTGCAACAGTGAATATCAATCTCCTCAAGATTTGGGAACACATAGGCGAACTTGAAAGTACAGTTTCTAAAGGTCTCGCCAATTATGCACGTACTCAAGGATATCTTCCGCAAATTCCTGAACTGTAATCTGGACTCACTAAGGAAAGAAATTGAAACATGCTCCAGTCTGATTTTCTTTAAACTGGATAAAAGACCAGGTAGCCGAAAGTTGGTTACTTCAGCTGGGCAGGAACCATAATTTGCGATGATGAGAACCTTCAGTTGGTCCATTTTCTCAATGAATGTGGGCAGGCTATAGTAGCTTGTCAGGAAGTTCAATATTAGAACTTCAATTTCAGGTAGTTCAATGTTGTGCCAGCTTGAGGAAAAAGTTTCATCTGCAAGCAATATTCGACGACACATTTTGAATTTGGGGGAAAATAAATAAATACATATTGTGTGTGAGGTTTCATATTGAAAACACAAGAGATTCAAACCTGTAGAGATAGACAAGAGGCGGGCATGAAACGGTTGTATTTGTTCAACGAACCACTCGGGGAAGTCATTTCCTCATATGTCCATAATTAATCTTTTCCTCTGTTCTATGGGCTCTTGGCTGCTCAGGTAGATAGCCAGCTCTCTGAGCAGATCATGCAGGGTGACAAAATGCTCATTGTAGTAGCCAGCAATTTCACTTGCCTCTTTCCTGTGAATGGGAGTAAAACAGACTCCATCAGTTTGGCAAAAACTAAGAAGAAAGAATTCCACCCCACCCACCACCTTGCAGGCTGGACCGTCACTCTGTGATCGGTGTTCACAAACTCACACGCAAAACATCATCAAATAAACATAATTTGGTCACTTAAGTGAAAAATAGGAACCTAAAATACCTTGTAAACTCAAGAAAAACCAAATTTTGGAAGGCTAGTTTATGGAGGTTGGTAAGGGCATATATGCCATCTTCATCAAGGTTGTACAGTTCTGCCCACATATCCATAAGAGCCGTGACAGGGATCCTTTGATCTTCGGGAAATGAAGCTAGATCCAGGAAACAATCCTTGACATGAGTCTTTTCGTTCAAGGTTTCTATTGAAGTTTGGAGACAAATAAGCAGATCATGGTTGGAATCAAAAATGGATTCTCTTTCAGACAATTGCATCAGTGTGTGTCTCCAGATCACCTCCGGTTGTCCACGGAGTGATCCACCAACCACTTCAAGGGCTAGTGGCAATCTGTTACATTCTCTCACTATCTGCAATTTGATGTGGCAAACTAAATTAGTCGCAGTCGTTTGCAAAGAAAACTAATATAATGAAGAATTGCAGACAAGTAACAAAAGGCTCTACTTCTTGATCTTCAATTAAATGAATTTGACCAATCAACAATTGCAGAAAAGAAAAATACTTTTAGATCAGTTTGTGTGTAAAATTTGACGATAGAATAGTAATATATACCTGCAAGCATAACTGCACATCTATATGTGCAAACACATGCATGATTGATTTGATTTTTTTTTTTTTTTTTTTTAATTGGTACTCTCACACACTGCCTCAACTGAGGTTTAAACCCTTTATCTCCCTTTGGGAGGTAAGAACCTTATACTGCTAGGCCACAAGCCTGTTAGTTACATGCATGATTTTAACATATGCATAACAAAAATAATAATAATGATAATAGCGCATGCATACAAGTGTCTAGATTCTACCTCATGAAGAAGAGATTCTGGGACGTTCATGCTCCCACCTTGCGGAAATGCTGACTGACAAAAAAGAGACATGGCATCTTGTTCACTCAATATTTCCAATTTATATGTAGAACCAAGTCCTGGAAATTCAGATCTTGATGTAACCAATATTTTGTATCCTGGTATTGGGAACATGAACTTCTGAATAAGGGGTTTTGATCCAGGCCACACATCATCCAAGACCACCAATATAGGATCTGGTCCTATTTGCTTCAGCAAGTTCTCTAGTTGGTTGATGGCATCCTCATCATTTTGAAACTCAGGCACCAGAAAACCCTTGCATCGAAACATGTCCTGAACAATGACCCTGAGGTTGGGTGTCATCGAAACCGCGATAAAGAAAATATTCTCCCTAAATATGCCTGTCAAATGATGGCATTACTTATGAAATTGGCTGGAAGGCCAAAGAAAACATCATTGTAAGTTCTAGAAAGTTCATAGATTAAAATTCTGCACTAGCTTGGGAAGTCTGTCAACAACCTTATCTTTTCCAATCAAAAATTGATTTCAGAATAAAAGAAATGAACAATTCATGAAGAATCAGACAAGTATATATGCCCCAGCTGAAACTATATAACCGCTTAATTCTAATCAATGCTGCTAAACTTGAGAACAACTTATTTTCATTCATGACATAGATTTTAAGGGTTTTCGATAAATTTAGCTACCATGGTCTCATTTGAACTGAGGAATTTAAAATGAACAAAAATGTTTTTAGTCTTTTTAGAAGTAACACTTATATTTAGATTAAGGCTCCAACAAAATCCATATATCGATTTGGAGAGCTTTACAAGTGTGGATATCAGATGATAATTGACAAGGGTTCTTTACATGGATACGTTCAAATTAAGATCCTCCTAAAATATATCTCTCATACCTTTAATGATTAGGCATAAATTGTCATTCTTGATTAGACTCTAATATACTCAAATCCATTTATGAGTTATGAGTCTATGACCCGCTATAAATGAATTGTTAGCGTCAATCTAAGTATCATCTTCCTTTCATCCAAATGCATGTGAAATTTATCAAATTAAATTAGACATAAAACAAAGATAATCTTCTTTATATTGATGATACCTTTAATATCGACATCAAGACAGAGCATTTGTGCCAATGTAGTCTTCCCGTATCCTCCCGGACTCGAAAGTAGAACCACTCGTAGAACATCGTCTAGCAACATCATCTTCAAGTTATGAAGATGAACAGTAGAAGCTGGAACTTCCGGAGCTACACAAGAATCTACAAGAACATTCTGATCACAATCCGCCAGATATTTACTCACACTCGACCACATTCTATTCAGATTCGGATCTATTTCATTCACTCCAACACTACAACTTGGAACTTCCGGAGCTCCAGACGAACCTGCATACACATTCGGACCACAAACCGGTCTACCTTCTCTGCTTTCATCAAATTTCGCTACAATCTTCTTGACATACCTTATCAGCAGAACTTGCCCATGGGTCTGATAGAATCTCACTTGCGAATCCTCGTATTCTTTGAGCTTCTTCGAGTTGGAAGCCTTCTTGACCCAATTCCAACTCGGAGTTTTCGAGCACTTGAGGATAAGCTTCTGGGCCTCTTCCATCCGAACGGTGAACTTTTTGGTTTCTTCGTTGGGAGGGTTCAATTGTCCATCCAATTCCTGAATCTCACGTACAATTTGGAAGATTTCATTGGCTCTTGATTCGAATCCTTGGAGGTTGTTATCGAAGTTGATGGCTCTCTCTGAAAAATCCAGAACAGCTGTCAGTGATTCACCAGTTGCAGCTCCCAAAAGAGCCCCTCCAAGAAGGTCCATCTATATGATTGTTTTGCAAGGAAAAGAAAAACCCAATTCACTGAAAATCAAGAGGAGTTGAATGGGGCTTCTGAATCAAGAGGTAGTTTTTGTGGATAATAATAAAAATCTATAAAAATTTCGGCATAATCACCGCAGAAAATGTCTCTAAACAACCTGTTGAAATACAAAAAAAATAAATACAATGATTTCATTGGGCCTTAAATCTAACATATCCTGTCCCAACGCAATATACATATATTATATCACATCTCCAAAGTGACTACATACATACAAAATCCCATTTCTCCATCTCATCCACCAAGGAACATACCTTGGTTACATCAAGTTACAGTCCAAAAAGCGTAGTTAGAATTTAAAAGTCCATGGCTTACAACATTATACTAATTAAACTAAAGTTTTACGAATTAGTTAATAATACATTTACAAAATATTAGAGAGTTTTAATACAAAAGATAGCAAAAAAAATAAAATAGGTCTCCGTGCTCGTCTAAAATCGTGGTGGATCGTCGTCCGCCACCTCTTTTCCATGTCCTGAAAAATGTTAGAAATAATGGGGTGAGCATAAGCTCAGTAGGAAGTGTCTAAGACACACTTCTTATATCCCCGTGAATCCATACAATGAATAGATAAAAAAAAAAAAAATGAAAGGGATCATGCTATAAGGAAATACACACTCTCAAATACAATAACAAGTATGTAACAAATACCACCCAATCATAAGTTTACCACAATGTCATGAAGTGCAATATGCAAATGTTACTCCCCATTTTCTGAAACAGTTCCATTTCAACTTCCAAAACCGTTAGTGTAATCCGACCCAAGGCACCTCCAAGGCGTCACGAATGGAGGGTTGACTAACTATCCACGACCACAAGGCACCTCCAAGGAGTCGCATCCGGCCTAGTTAGCTCAACCATGATTCCTTCTAGACTACACTAACACCACAGACCACTAAGCGCCTCCTAGGCGTCCGGTTTTCGCAAACTCCTTTAAAAAAAATATTTTCCCCAAAATAATTTCGTTTGTTCAATATATATATATATATATATATATATATATATATATATATATATATATATTCTTTTTCTTTCTCTTTCCCAATGAATGCATGAATGTGCATGTTTCGATTTATCAATTCAACCATAGGCTCTCACACATTTCATTTACATCATTATCACAATTTAATAGAAATTTCTAAGCAATCATTTCTTTTATTTATTTATTGACAATAACATCATTTTCTTTCAAAGCAATGAATAAATAAAAAAAATACATAATCTTAGGATATATAATATGTCAACACCAAACATGCTCAATCACCGTAATAAATCTAGTCGTATATATGAATTCAATTAACACATGGAACACATTTAGCATTTTAATTAAACATACTTCAACCACAAATTAGATAATCAAAATTAGCATGCATAGGATCAAATTTAGGGGAAAAATTCACAAAAAAACTAAGAAATTGTAGATTAGAGCACCCCTACCTCAATGGAAGTGAAAACTCCCAAAATCCCCAAATCCAAGCCCAAGAACCCTAGAATTTTGAACTCCCTAGAGTGCACCAAATGATGATTGGCTCCTATCAAATTGAAGGCCTTGACGAGCTCTCCAACTTTGCTTCACAATGCTCTATCAAAATCCAAAAGTTTAAAGCTAGATCAAGCTTTGAGATTGCAAAAAGAAAAAGAAGCAGTGAGATGCCGAGAGGGGAAAGATGCAGCAGAGAAAGAGAGAGAAAACAGTTGGGTCGTGGGTCGTGTAATGACTTATACACTTTTTGTGTGTCTTAAAACATGGGTGGGGCCCACTTGCTTTATTTCTTTTTCTTTTAGCATTAATTATATATATATATATATATATATATATATATATATATCATAACATTACATTCTTCCTAACTTTAAAAGATTTCGTCCCCGAAATCAGGCCATACCTGAGGGAGAAAACAACTCTGGATACTTGGACCGAACCTCCTGTTCGAGCTCCCAAGTAGCCTCCTCAACTCCGTGATGCCTCCAAAGAACCTTTACTAACGGTATCGTCTTTTTCCTCAACACCTTCTGTTGTGTGTCAAGGATCTGAACTGGTCCCTCCTCGTAGAAAACATCCTCATCAATGTCAACCTTAATCCAATTCAAAACGTGAGATGGATCCGGCTCGTACTTCCATAACATCGATACATGGAAAACATTATGGACCCTGTCCATCTGCGGTGGCAAAGCAAGTCTGTAGGCAACCTCTCCTACACGGTCCAAGATCTCAAAAGATCCAATGAATCGTGGCGACAACTTGCCACTCTTTCCGAACCTCATCAACCCCTTTCGTGGAGAAACCCGAAGAAAAACGTGGTCTCCCACCTCAAAGGATAACGGTCGCCTCCGCCTATCTGCATAGCTCTTCTGTCGGCTCTGAGCCGTGAGCAGCCTCTGTCTAATCAACTTAATTTTCTCGGTAGTCTCGAGTACAATGTCGGGTCCTAAAGCGGCTGTCTCGCCCACCTCAGTCCAACAGACAGGAGACCTACAAGGTCTACCATACAACGCCTCAAATGGAGCCATCTGAATACTTGCCTGATAACTGTTGTTGTAGGCAAACTCAATAAGTGGAAGGTGATCCTCCCAACTACCACCCAAGTCAAGTACACAGGCCCGAAGCATATCCTCTAAGATCTGGATAGTACGCTCTGACTGGCCATCCGTCTGTGGATGAAATGCCGTGCTAAGGTGCAACGCTGAGCCAAACGCTGCTTGAAGTCCTTCCCAGAACTTCGAGGTGAACTTGGCATCTCTATCTGACACAATAGTCACTGGAATCCCGTGTAATCTCACAATCTCCTTCACATAAAGTACACCAAGTGCCTCTGCATCATTTGTTGCCTTAATGGGCAAAAAGTGAGCAGTCTTGGTCAACCTATCAATAATGACCCATACGGCTTCATTTCCCCTCCGTGACCTAGGAAGACTTGTCACAAAATCCATGGCAATCTCCTCCCATTTCCACTGCGCTACCGGCAATGGTTGCAATAAACCAGCTGGTCTCTGGTGCTCGGCCTTCACCTGCTGACAGGTAAGGCACTTAGCCACAAACAGTGCAACATCCTTCTTCATTCCACTCCACCAATACTGATGTCTTAGATTGTGATACATTTTGGTACCACCCGGATGAACTACAAAGCGGGAAGTGTGAAACTCCCGTAAGACGTCCTCACGACAAACTGTGGGAACAACCAACAAACCTCTGAACCGTAGACCTCCATCTGCATGTAAGGTCCAATCCTTCACGGTCTTGCCACTAGAGATCAGAGTGTAAATGGCGTCCAAATTTGAATCTTGTCTCTGTGACTCAATCACCCGTCTAACAAGAGTGGGTTAAGCCACGAGACTAAACAAAAATGCTGACTCACTGCCATCATCATCGTCAAAGCAATACAGTCCCATTTCAGCCAAATTTTCAAGCATCTTCCACTTCCGAATGGCTAAACTAGCCAAAGTCCCACGAGATTTCCGGCTTAAAGCATCAGCTACTACATTTGCCTTACCCGGATGATACTGTAAATCAAAGTTGTAGTCTTCTAAGAACTCAACCCATCGCCTCTGTCTATTATTCAAGTCCTTTTGGGAGAAAAGGTACTTGAGACTCTTGTGATCCGAGAACACCTCAAATCTCTCACCATACAAATAATGTCTCCAACACTTCAAGGCAAAAACGACGGCCGCTAGCTTTAAGTCATGAGTAGGGTAGTTATGTTCGTGAGTCTTCAACTGTCGAGACCCATAAGCCACTACTCTACCATCCTGCATCAGTACACAACCCAAACCATCACGTGAGGCGTCACAATAGATCACATAACCCAAGCCACGCTCAGGTATCACTAACACCGGAGCCGTAGTCAACCTCATTTTTAACTATTGAAAGGATGACTCACATGCCTCATTCCATGTAAACTTGATCCCTTTCTGGGTCAATCTAGTCATAGGAGCTGCCAAACGGGAAAAATCCTTCACAAATCTCCGATAATAACCCGCTAGGCCAAGGAAACTCCGAATCTCAAAGACATTCTTGGGTTGCTCCCAACTCAAAACTGCCTCTATTTTTGAAGGATCAACTGAAACCCCACCTTCCGAGACAACATGTCCCAAAAATTTCACCTCTTGTAGCCAAAACTCACACTTTTCATATTTGGCGTACAAACGGTGCTCCCGTAGAATCTTCAACACTATACCTAAATGGACCTCGTACTCTTCCTGAGTCCGTGAATACACAAGAATATCATCCACAAAAACTACCACAAACTGATCCAAATAATCGTGGAAGACACGGTTCATTAAATCCATGAATGCTGCCGGCGCATTAGTTAAACCAAAAGGCATAACAAGAAACTCGTAATGTCCATACCGCGTACGAAACGCGATCTTTGGAATATCCTCCTCTCTAACCCGTAACTGATAATAGCCTGACCTCAAGTCAATCTTCGAAAAACAACTGGCTCCCCTCAACTGATCAAATAAATCATCTATCCTTGGTAAATGATACTTGTTCTTGATGGTGGCATGATTCAACTTTCGGTAATCAATGCACAACCTCAAAGAACCATCTTTCTTCTTAGCGAACAAGACCGGTGCACCCCACGGTGACACACTCGGTCGGATAAAGCCTTTCATCCTTAAATCATCAAGTTGCTTCTTCAATTCTTCTAATTCAATCGGTGCCATACGATACGGTGCCATAGAGATTGGTGCGGTACCAGGCATCAAATAAATAGCAAATTCCACCTCTCGGTGTGGAGGCAACTCAGTCAAGTCCTCCGGAAACACATCCAGAAAATCACGCATAACTGCTGGATAATCAACCCCATAAAACTCAACGTCATCATCGGCGAAAAGACTAGCCAAGAAGAATGTCTGCCGATCTCGACCCCTAACACCATAAAATGAATGAGTGAGAGGATCACACTGATCTCCCACAAAACAGAAACAATCCCCATCCGGGGTACACACTGAAACTCTGCCCCTGAAAGAATCAATGACAGCTCTGAAGGATGACA